TTTGGAAAATAAATCAGAGTCTGGAAAGCACAGGTCAGTTTTTCCAGTTTCTGAGAAATCCTATGTTCATTGATTTACCATTTCTAGCTATCAGGTCAATGTTGTTTATAAAAGATGGTTTGAGGTCTCCTTTAAAAACCTACATACGATTTTCCTATACTCTGATGGATCCTTAGTTATCTTTAAATGAACACAGGGGAAAAAATCTTGAACACTTGACAACACCCTGTATGTCAATAAGCATGGAAAACATACTATAAATTCCCAAAGGGAGCACCAAAGGAACTTTGAATTAGTACCAATATATGTAAAGTAACCTACAACATAATTTTTGGGGTCTATTATGGTAAACAGTGTCCTAACATAATAAATTTCTTTGACAAGAATAAGTGTCATTTTGACCTACTGAGAACTGGATATAACATTCAATGATATGATTCACTGGCTTGATAATATAAGCAAGATTATAAATTTCCCTCAAAACAGATATGATAGCAAGGTGTAGAAACACATATCTATAATCCCAGTGTCCCAGGAGGCTGAGGCAAGGGGATCTCAAGTTTGAGGACTGTTTGAGCAACTTAGTGAGACGCTATCTCAAAACAGAATTAAAAAGGCTGGGGATGTAGCTCAGTGGTAAAGCACTTGTGTAGCATGCATGAAGCCCTGGGTTCAATTCCCAGGACTGAGGGTAGTTTGTGTGTGTAGGGGGTGGTATTATATTTAATTCTAATCCCAGAACCCTAGCACAATGCCAGGCATAAGGAGCTAAATGAACTGAATATGTTTATTAGAAATGTATTAGTAGTTTTTTTGTCATGTATTACTAGTGACCAAGAAATCATTATTCTTTTAGTTTAAGTTGACTCCTTGGGACCTCAGAGTTTTGCTAGACCCAGTTGATTTCACATCATTAAACATTAGACTCCTTGGACTAATAGATAAATCTTGTTTTCTGTGCACTGCACCAGCAAGGTGGAATGTATGTATTTCTCTCATTTACTCTCTTGTTCTCCAGTCAGGAAAGGCCAAGAATCCTAGACAACATGATTTCTAAGGTGGAAACAAAGGATCTCAGACTGACCCAATTTTATACACAGCAAAACAACTAATTTCAGAACTTAAATGAGCACGACTCTCTCTCCTAATCATCTTTTGCAGGAAATCCAGGCCTCAGAAGGATTTTATAATAGTCATTGTGATAAATATTGTTCTTTCACTATTTAAACAGAAAACATGCTCTCAGCCCTTTTTAATGATCTTTTATGCAAAAAAACAAAAAAAGAAAGGAAAAGAATTGACTGAGAGCCTGCTACTTTTATGCTTCTTTTCCTTTCCAAAATTTAAACTCATTTTCTCAAATGCTCTTTTAGGATGGGGACTGATATGGTAGTCATTGTATATTCTCCTTATACATTTAATATGCTAGTCTACAGATACACGTACTCTCAGGGGCATTCTACTGAGGCAAATGTAGGACAACTAGCAAACTTTTAGAAATGTAAATATATAACTTGAATCAGAGTATGGAAACAGGCTATGGAATGCACACATCCTACAAAGACGGCCCTATCATAAAATGAAGTACTGCTGTTGGAAGCACAGCCATAATTGCTCTCTGGAGAGTAAAAGACATTGTCTTGCCTCCTCAGCAGAAATTCAGCTCCCCATATGAAAATCTGATAAATTTTCCAGTTTCTCACAGAGGGGACGACAGAGAATTTAATGAGAAACACATTGGAACGGGACCTGTCACAGTGTGATTATGCATTCACTAATCTCTCTGTAGGGTACAGAAAAAGTCCATCTTCCCTGAGAGAGTTTATCTGAGAAAAGGGAAAAAAACACATCTAGAAATAAATTACCAAAAAGAAATGTCTTCACTCTCCCACTGACACCTACTGACATCCCACTGGACTACTTGTTTGGCCTACAAATAGCAAAACCATAAGGATTTGCATAGTAACCTATTTTTATGACTGCCAATGAAATCTGAGTATTATAAGATGACTAATTTACTGATACATAAATGCAGCTTGCAAGTGTCTCATATTTTTTGGTTTGAACTCAGAATTTGTGTTTAAGAAATCCAAGTATAATGAGAGGGGCAGTGGATATTCTTATGGTAGGAGCTATCTCATGCCTAACATGAAATTCTCTTCCTGTCATCCATCATATTCATCAAATAAATCTTATTCAGCAGTTATATCCATCCTAAAAGCATTTTTGAGCAACTGAAGTACACCAGGGACATAGAAATATAAGCATACACTAAATTCTATGAACAAGTGGAATATCCAATAGCCTCTAGAAAGTGTTTAAATCAGAGGGACATATAATTCAAAAGGGCTATCAATTAAGAGCATGGGTAATCCTGATATTAGGTTGGGCAAACTGCAATTTTAAAGTGGATATACTCCCTCCAGAAATTCAAAATATGAGAGTACACTAATGTAAACATTATAAAGAACATATTGAGCAAGTATCAAACAAATAAAAGATGCTTCACTAGTTGTGTGCCTTGTGCCTGGCAGGGTCTTAAAAAAAAATAACTTTCAGAGCCAGGTGCAGTGGCACATGCCTGCAATCCTAGTGGCTCCTGGGGCTGAGACAGGAGGATGGCCAGTTCAAATCCAGCCTCAGCAACTGCAAGGTCCTACACAACTCAGTGAGACACTGTCTCTAAATAAAATATAAAATAGGGCTGGGGATGTGGCTCACTGGTTGAGTGCTCCTGAGTTCAATCCCTGGTACCCCCTTCACCCCCCACCCCCAAAAAAAAGATAAAGAAAAAGAAAAAACTTTTCTGAATTATTAGGAATGTAAGAGAAAGGCAATTCAAAGTTGTGTCATGAACTATCCTTATTTGGAGGAGTGGTATCAAAAAAAAATTTATCATAATTCTTCATAAATTTCTGGAAGGCTTCTAGAATTTTAATCAGAAAAGAGGTGATCAAAAATTACATGTTTAATTAAGGATCTAGATCTATTTGTTACATGCAGCGATACTCTGCTGACCATTCCTTTCTGGATTAATTCAAATTTTTCATGTCCTTTATAAAATGCTATGCTCAGGATTGATCTCAATTTGATCCAACCTTACACTTACTCATTTATTTCTTTGCTGGGGATCAAGTCAGCACATTGTGCTAAGTAAATGCTCAACCACTGAGCTGTATCCCGGCTCTGATCCTGTTGTCATTCTAACTAAGACAAACATCTTTTTAAAATACCTGTATTACTCATTGGAAGTTTATTTCATGTGGTTGTCCGGTTTCATCTGGACATAGAGTATTAGTTTCATCTGGGGAAGAACCTTGTCCCTATTTTGGACATTAATAACTGTCAATATATTAAAACTCAATAACTGATGGTAAAACTGGAAATGATGCTAGAGATCAAATGATAGAGTCCAAAATTAGGGCTAGAGAGTGACTTGTGATATCTATGGCAGAGTCAAGACAGAAAATATATATATAATTTATTAAATTAAAAATATATGAGCCCTTGATTTCTAACTAAGATACATATGCATTTTTTAAACTTAAAATTGCTTAAATGCTGTTTGATGACTCATAGCTCACTTGACTGATCTCATGCTTTGTGTGATTCTTGGTTGTGAAAGGCCTCTACTGACTTTGATGGCTTCTCTCTCCTGAGACTTTCAAACAGAACAAAGAGTGTGACAAATAAGGTAACTTTTTTCTCTGTGAATGATTCATCACATGAAAACCTTATTTCAGAAACTGGCCAGTACAACTGAAATAAGTGAGCAATATTCATTTATCTAAAAGTTCCTGTGTTTTAAAACTTGTTTTAAAAAATCATTGACTTCAAAATCAATAGCAGAATACAACAGTCACTAATATGCCATTATGTAAAAATATGAGTGTGTAACCGATGTGATTCTGCAATTTGTATTTGGGGTAAAAATGGGAGTTCATAACCCAATTGAGTCAAATGTATGAAAGATGATATATCATGAGCTTTGTAATGTTTTGAACAACTAATAAAAATAAATAAATTTTAAAAAATTTTACATGATAAGAATTTAGATGCTGCAAGTAAATCTTAAAGGAGGTCTATAATTCCATTGATAAGTCATTTTTATTTGCTTCCTATTGCAGCTATGTCTACAGCATTCTTTTTATTATTAAAATTAGCCTATAGACAATTTGTTGCAACTATAAAAATCGTGCCAGAATTTGAGTTTTTGGTCAGAGCCATACTTTCATTTTATTATTAAAGTCGTGGCTTTGTCTTTTCCTCCTTTTGAAAGGTAGAAATATTAATGGTGGGCTGGTGATGTGGGTCAAGTGGTAGCATGCTCACCTGGCATGCACGGGGCGCTGGGTTTGATCCTCAGCACCACATAAAAATAAAATAAAGATGTTGTGTCCACCGAAAACTAAAAAATAAATATTAAAAAATTCTCTTTCTCTCTCTCTCTCTCTTTAAAAAAAAAGAGAAATATTAATGGTAAGAAAATCATTAAGTTTTGTCTTTTAAAATCAATTTTATGGTAGATTTACCTATGTGATTTATGGTGTTTAATAAATGTATTTATAATATATATGTATATATACCTTTATATACATATACATTATCTGGCAATAAGTTATGTTTTATAAATATATACATACATATATAAACATATACATACTTATCTTATATGTTTATTTAACATAGTGTATACATTTATATATTTATTAATATATATTTATATACACACATAGCATGTGGAAATAACTTTGGCCTGTATTCCTTTTTAGATCAAACTGCTAGATTACTATAACTAAGCTAAAAGAACTCAGATAATTTTATATATACCATACTCACAAATTAGTTACTTTAGAAGAAAGTAAAATCCACAGTGTTCTTACATTGGAAACCTCTGTTTATCTCTATAGATGTTCCTGATAAAGAACATCTTAAATTAAAAATTATATATAAAATAATTAATAAATCTGAAATATCAATCTGAAAATGTTTGTCATCTGTCTTTGAAACAAATTAGGTTCTTAAATATTAGTGTAAAATTCATTGATATTTTTATATTAACATATTGACTAAAACTTTATTTGAGTTTGGTTAGATCTAGTTACTTAAAAATCATCAAAACCACATAACCATGAACTTTTAGAAAGTTATGTAAGGCGTTATATTTGTACATGCTACCTGTGCATGAGTTCATTTAATTAATTAATTTAGGTGACTTTATGCTTCACTGAGTATTAATTAAATATAATTGCATATGACCAGTAAACTTAAGTGTAATTTATTTTTTTAAACTTTAGTCTGGCTTTAAATTTTGAAATTAATTAGTCCTCACTTGCATAATATATATTTGGTAGCCTATTTTAACCCTCAGATGCTAATCAAATCAAACAAGGAGGACCAGATAAGCTAATATTTTTTAACTTAATGTAAACTGTGAGTATCATTTAGCCTTATGCATGCATTAGTTTAATTTAGTTTGCTGTTAATCATCATTATAATTATCTTTTCCTTGCTCATTTAAACATGTTTACAAGTCTCCTGTTTTACAACCTAAATTCTCCATGCATCCTAAGTAAGAATTTGATATTCAGTGTACAAAATTTAACCACAGAATAAAATAAACTAGAATAGTATTTATAGCTTTATATTGCATGCCTAAGATGATATGCCACTTGAAAAGCAGTTGGGCATATCTTTATTTGCAAAACATTATTTAACTTAGGGGTATTCTAAAGTCTAAACTAATTAAAACTTTTGTAGCATTTCATTCATTTTCTATTTTAAAAAATCATGCATTAAAACAAGGAGCAATAAACACATTGTTGGCTTTATAATAAGTGATTAAAAGTATATGTAAAAGTGCATGCATGATGTTTTAATTCATGGATAGATTTTCATATACTACCTATAATATACACATAAATAAGGCAATCTGTGTGTATGGTACTAAACTCAATATTGGTAATCACCCTATTTATGCACCATAATAAGCTGAACTTTGTTTTAGGAAAATAAATTTAACATTATTATGATTATGATGTGCATACTGGGAAACAAACCCAAGGTCTTGTTAATGGTAGGCAAGCAAGCACTCTATCACTAACTATACCCCCAGTCTTATCAATATTCTGTAAACATACTTCAGTGCACACTACCAACTTTCTATGAACTATTTGGCTCTTACTGTGAAAGACATGTTTCTAACCATTAGCTATGCTTTTTTTATTACAACATTTCCAAATGTAAGATGAACATTTGTATATTATAGAACTCAATAAAAATGATTATCCAAGAAAATAAATTTCATGAGTTGTATTTTCTGCGATTTATGTTCAGCATTCAGTATTTGGGTTGAGAATGAAGTGCCATTTCAACTCATCAAATTCCCAGGTCTCCCATATCACAAGATGAGATTAAATATCTATTTATATCAGATATATATATATATATATATATATACATATAATGTATATGTATCTATATATGTATGTCAGATATATATATAGATAGATAGATATACATACTATATCTATCTATATATATATGTATCATAAAATTTCCTTGTAAAATGGCAGATATATTCACTGGAATGGTTACTTTTAGGATACGAAGCTCAAAGCATGTTTGACTGAATAATAAGAACATTTTTTGACAACCAGACTTGACATGGATAACTGTTCAGCGATTCATCTCCTTCAGTTCTCCATCGTTTCCCTCTAAGTGGTTACTCCCTGTGGATCTATACAACAAGCATTGCAGAGGGTCACAGAAGTATTTTTAAGCACTCCGATTTCATAGTGAATGCTTGATGGACAGAATAAAATGTATTCCTTCAGCTGTTCCAGAATGAGGGCAGGGGGTAAGATAACAGGAGAAGCAAAGGCAAGACAGAATTAGATCTCAATAAATGCTACAAACTTAGAGTACTTTTACCTCTAATTCTTTTCCTTACCTACAACTGTTAGTTTCATTAAAATACTCTTTTTTTTTCCTCCTTAATTTCTAACCAGCCGTTAAAGGGGTAGGTTTTCACATAATGTCATAAATTTACACACGCATACACACAAATCCAAGCTGAGCCTTTGACGCTGTGGAAGAGAATTTAAACATTTTAAAACGTCAAACTAAATTTACATTAACTGAGGTATGGCTAAAAAATAAAAATAAAATAAAAATAGTGCAGTGAATAGAAAATTGCAAAAGAAATCCACGTTACAAATAAGCTCTAAACACATTTATAATTCATAAACAGTATTAAAACGATTGCTTATGTCATATTAGTTAAAATAACAAAAGTAAGAAAATATGAACAATGCAGAGGTAATTTAAAAAAAAAACAAAAATAAAAGTTAATAAAATATTTTATCTGCATCAAAATATTCTTTGGAAACCAAAAAATAAAAAAATGTATCATGTATGTTCTTTCAGGTTGAGCTGTAAAAGTCAGAAAAATACATAGTCCAGGCTATTTGACTTTCTGAAAATGTGGAATTCTAAATATCCCCTAAGTATAAAGCAAAAGGCTTTCTGAACGGAAGTGCTATGCTCCTCCTACAAGTACAAAGAATTCCAGTTCCATTCCTATCAAAAAAACGTTTTTGCTTCAAACTGAAACAAATGACCTGACTTTTCATACAGAGTGAGTCCAGCCGAAGCTGTGACTGAAGATTTTTCTCCAGAGCTCCAAAGACACCTGTAGAATCTCCTGAGGGAAAAGAATGCTTTCTGGCAAGGCCTAGATCAGAGTTATCCAAAGCGAAACTTGAGTCTGTATTTCACTGTATTGGGACTTTTTCGAGGCGTAGAGAGTGGAACCTTTGGCTTGACAGGGGTAGGTGGCTTTTTCTTTTCAGGAACAGTAACAGTGAAAGAAAGTTCCGGCTGCTCAGACTGCTTGAATCTTGGTAGAAAGTGGGTGGAGATGTGTTGGGGTTTGACCCGAGGACTGCAACCCCGTTTAGCTTTCCCTCGTTTATTCAGGGCCACGTACCACTCCCGCCCTGTCCTTTCAGTTCTGTGGGTTGCCGAAGCATAGGTATTATAGCTGTTTTCTTGAAATCGCTCCCTGAACTTGCAGTCATCTGTAAATTTGGCCTAAATGGGGGAAAAAGAGAAAATTTAACTTGTAATATTTTCAGCATGTAATGAAATATGATGTCTCATACCAAAAAAGAAAAACCAAGAATTCTATTGATCCCTCGCTCTCCTACTTTATTCCCTTTTATAAAAACATATTTGCTTCTTTTTAAGTTGCTTTAAACTTCCTGCTTTTATTTACATATTTCTTCTTTATTCATCTTTGTAACAATGTACTTGGTGACACAATGTTAATATATGTATTCTAATGATAATTTGAACTCCTCATTTAAACATTAAAAACTCCCAATACATTAAAACATTGTTACTATTTAAATAAAACTTGGACATTTATAGTTGATTTTTTTTAAAATCATATAGATAAAAATCTGTAGATAGGATTTTCCCCCCTCTAGGTCACCAAGAAAATAAATAGAACTATACTACTAAGAAACAATTGCCTAGTAAAACATAAATTTGTGTTTGGAGAAATGGGGTCAAACTGTTCCTTTGAAACAAGCATCCATTTTCAATGTTATCAGTGTAATTCATGCTGCTGAGAGAGGAGTAGCATATGGCCCTATTAATATTGCATGTGTTAAGAGATCTTTTGGAAAAATATAGCTTTAAACATGTGATACAAGAGAGTGTAGAAAGAAAAACATACTGGAGTCAGTATTAACACCTTAGCCATATCTTACACACACACACACACACACACACACACTGACCTTGAAATGTTCACACAATAGTGGAAAAGCAAACAGACAGACATCATCATGATGCAGCTTAATAAGTGGAATTATGAGTAGAAAGTCTTCAGAGGTTACAATGACAACTTAGAGGAAAGGCATCTAAGAGGGCAGAGGTGAAGGGAAGAGGGCAGAAAGTCTTCCTGAAAAGCTGACATTTGAGCTGATGTCACGGAGGCAGGTGAAATGAGAAAGAATTTCCTGGGAGCAGGAACAGTATGTTCAAGGGTCAGCGTCACAGTTTGAATACCTATTAAGCAGTTTGGTGTGACTTTCCTGTGGGAGGCATGAGGGAAAAAACAACAGACAAGGCTGACAAAGTAGATCAATATCAGATCAGAAAGGGCCTGGTTTGCTGAACTAGGGTTGGAAGGAGTATGGTAGGGGAAGGAGTGTGAGCGTAGGGCCAGACATGCTACCAAATACCAATTCTGCCACTGGAACTCTTAGCCTTAGGTCCCTTGTCCATAAGCCTTACCCCACAGGGTTACTGTGAAAATAGAAATATTTTAGTAGGAAAGGGATCTTTACCTTTCATCAAACTCAAGAGTCCATAACCTTCAAGGAATTAAGAGTGTGTCTACCAGTCTGAATTCCTACATTTTATGGTTCATGGAGCTCCATGGCATAGAATACTGGGGTTTAGAAATACCAAATATTTTGTCCTCCATATATAAAAACACTAAAAGCCGTGCATTTCTATTTCAGGCAAGATGTTTTATGCTGGAATAAAAGTGTCCTTTGCTCTTGCTTTTTCTAGTAATGTCAAACTTTGCAATGTAGATTATAACACCATAACCCAAAAGTCCAGATAATGCAAAGCAATTTACTAGACACACCGTTGAAGTACCCATGGATTTTTGGACTTGTACTGACAATTACAGAAGACAACCTGGATCAGAGCATTTACAACAGCACATTTATCTTATGTACAATACTTCACCAGAGTTATTTACATTTAAGTGCAATACAGCTCCTTATTTCGGGTCTATGAAGCTATATACCTAGGTCTTCCCCAAGTCTTCTGGTGGATGTCCTGGATTTGATCTCCAGCAGGCTAGGAGCAGGTGTGTTAAAAGAACCACCTCAATGTGTGGCATTTCTCTCTTTCTGCCTTACAACACACTAGCCTATGCCTAGGCCAAGAGTGCAATGATGATGTCACTTTAGAAATCATAGTTATTGTTCTCATTTTTTATTTAAAAGATCTTCTTACAAGTTAAATATATGTATCTGTCTATAGCTGCTGCTTAGCTCTTAAAACGTCTCTTCCATTTAATTAGATAATCTTAAAGTTTTATTTTAAAATAAAAATTGTAGCCATCTGGAATATTTCTGGCTCCATAACAGGACAAGCATTTTAGAAAGGCGAAGAGCATTTCATTAAAAAGAGAACAAGGGCTGGGCCCATAGCTTAGTGGTTAAAGGGATGGAGGTGGAGAGTTTTTCTTAAAAGATAGCTGTATAACTTTTTTGAATATGTATAGATAATGCATTATATTATGTACTATGCATATATACAACATTATAACTTGACCTGACTTTTACCTCTGTTTTATAAAAATAACAGTAATTGCTTTATCCAATGTTGACAGATTTTTTTAAGGTATTACATTATTTAACCTTGTTTATCCTTATGTTAAAGAACATGTGATTTTTCAGTTAATGTGGCTGATGGTCACACACACACACACACACACACACACACACACACCATCACATATTTTCAAAAAATGTCAATTCCATCTTAAAGTGTCTCAGAATAGTGAAAAATTTAGCTACCCCACCCATTAAAATTGCTCTATCTAAAAAATATTCTCCTTTTTTCCTCAAGATTGTTATTTTTAAGTTCTTTCTTAGAAGGAGCCTTTTTAGGAGGTGGCTGGTCAGACTATCAATTTTTCAAGGGTTATCTAATTGTCCCACAGAGTAGAGATATATTCAGAGTGCTAAGGACCCACACACTCACAGCCCCTCAGGCACCCCAAAGCCTACATGAAAACAAGAGTAAAGCAGTCAGACTGTTTTGGCTTTCTTAATTGGCTTCTAATTTAATGTTTTGTCTGAAAAAGTCTTCCAGCTCTGACAGAACAGAACCATTTGAGAAAACTACTTCAGCTATTTTTTTTTTTCACCAGGAGATCTAGTTTCTTCTTGAAGGATTGACTGTTCTTGTCAGCATTTGCAGTCTTGCTCCAATAAGATTGTGACCCTCAGCAGTACATCTTTGCATGTAATGTCATGCCGGGAGCATCTTTATTGCAAAGAGTCACCAAGAAGCATAGGTATTAGGTGTAAGTATTAAAATATATACATTTACCACTAGATAATTTTGCATAATAAAATTTCCAGGCTACTTCTCATATTTAAATTGTCCTTTGACTTTTATAAATTTCTTTAATAAACCATACACTTTAAAATAATAGAGATGCATTATTTCCATAGAAAAATAAGGATGACATACAAACTTTTTCTGTAGTTAAGATGTAAAGTAAGGAGGTGATCAAATTTCAAATAAGCTACTGAAACCACAACTCCCATCATTTCACTGCCCTACTACAATCGGCCACCATAACAGAAACAATCATTAGAATGTTTGTTTAAAAAAAAAACTAGCTTTATTTCAAATATAATTTGAATAAGTTTTAATAATAAATATAATAGATATTTATTGACTATGTAACACCTAAGCACTACGGTGGTTTCTATCTTTATAGAGGTATGGTCCTTCCCAGGTTCTTTGATGATTTAAATGATCTGTATTTTGTCTTTAATTTTTCCTTCATCTCTCAAATTACCTTCAACAAGCCATGCTTATAAAATTAAAACAAAATGTTGAAATCAATGAATTTTAGGTAGTTTCCTGTACTCCAAATTATCAAAACAAATAAAACTTAAACACATTAAACTATGTTTCCTGGAATAACCAAATTACTTCAAGGTAGGGAATCACACTGCTAAGGGAAACAAGAACTTTTTCATCAGAAGATATTGTCTTTTCCTTTTCTTTTTTTCTTTTTTCTTTTGGTGCTACTGGGGATTGAACCCCCAGGGGTGCTCTACCTACATCTCCAGCCCTTTCTTATTTTTACTTTGACACAGGATCACACTGTTGCTAAAGCTGGCCTCAAATTTGTGATCCTCTGGCCTCCACCTCTGGGATTACAGTCATGTACCACTGTGTCCAAACTAAGAATCACTTTCTTAATTCTACTTATCTCTTCACAGTGAAGAACATATTTTAAACAATTAACGTTTTTTAAAAGTTCAAATTCATTTTAAAGAAAGCAAAATTTAAGATTACCTAGGATATTTCAGAAAAGACTAGTTCTACAAAATTGGAATTAAACAGAGGATCAATTAATCCAAGTAGAAAATCTCTCTATAACAACATTGTTTTAAAAAAACTCCCTAAAGCCTTAACATAGTTTTGTTCCTTAGTAAATACCATGTTCTATGATGATTGAGAATCTTACAATGAATGAATTGAGGCTCTGCAAATGCCAATTCTTATTTATGTGCAACTATAGAAGTAAACAGGAAGTATATGAAAGTGATATGGAGATAGGAGTGAATTTGCATTAATGCCTGTATAAATCATAGACTGTGAAGTTTACTATTTCACTATTTTTTTCTTTTGATTTGCCTCTTTCTCTTCAAAGAACTTACAAAATGAAGAAATAATCAGCTAAATCTAAATAATTAAAGTGTTATGAACTAACATCATTCACCAATTCAAATGTTATTATAGAGTGCAATAAAAATGATCATTGTTCTCTAAGCAAAGTTTTCTTGCAGCATGCATTACTAGTTCTGGTTTTTATATTTACATTCATTGTTCCTTGATTTCTATCCCTAACCCCACCAATGAGGTTGCCCTGAACAGGTACCCAAAGCCCACTCCATTTTGTATGGTTTTTCTCTGAGGGTTTTGCACCCTCAGGGCTGCTTTTTACTCTTTACCACCTAAGCCCCACATGGGTCAGTTGTAGCCCTATCCTACCATGATATCTCCAGAGCATGGCCATAATTCCTGCTTGACATTAGACATCTACCCATTCTATATCTCAGTTCTTCCTATTAGACTGCCAAAGAAATGTAGACCTAGTTTTAATCACAACCAACATAGTAATACAATGAGGAATACCAACCACAGGATCTTTCTTCTGAACTTCATGAATTACTAAAATTATTAAAGAATCCAGTTCAAAATGCAGATCCTATGAGTTATCTCCAGAGACTATGTTTTAGTAAGTGTGAGGTGAG